CTGTTTTCAAAAAAATATAAGGAGTTTCAGTCTAGACCTGCTCTATTTGAAAAGTGTCCTGAGATAACTTCTGTTATGAATTGGCACTACACAAATAAAATTGGATTGAATTGAAATAGTCTTTATGGTTCAAATGTACCTTTCTTATTTGAAGACATGTATTTTTTTCATGTTTTTATGTATTTTGCTGATGAGGATTCAGTTTAGATTCAGCTAATTTATAAGTTTGCAGAGCCAGATATTCATCTTTTAAAGCTTTTAAATGACCGGAGTCAATAACATAACAAAGAGGGAACCATTAATATATAATTGTTAAAGGGATGTTTATGTCTTTGTTTGTTCCAGTTGGTACAGTAAAAACGTCAACAGGAACAAGGCAGAAGAGCTGCTGAGGAAGGAGGTGAGAATCTCTTTTCTGTCTTTTTTGTATTTTTTCCTAAATGTTTCTTGTATAATAATTTCTTTTTACACTTATTTCTTTCCTCCTTTGTTTGTTTTGAGGTTCGAGTTCGGCTGAGGGACTTTTGTTAGGCTACGTGTCACTAATAAAGACATAAAAAGCAAAAAGAAGACCTTTATAAATAACCAAAATAGGCAAAACTGTAACTTATATCAAAATGATTATGAATTTGGTCTTATTATTTTAGTAGGACATACAGACTATAACAGCATAAAACCTTCAAAAACAAACAGTTGGGCACTTCCTGAATGTGGAATCATGAGAATTGTAGTATCTTTCATTCAGAAGGTGAAAAACTACAAACTAACAGGCAGGAATGTGATTTTGGGGACATGCAGTAAAGAAATTATGAATAATAACTACTGTTTATGTATATTTAGAATTAGAGAGATCTTAATCTATTGAACAATAAGGAAATATGTATAGTTGTATTTGCTTAAAAAGGAGTGTATGTGCTAAAAAAAGGTAATTAAAATAAAAAAATCTAAAGTTTATATGCATTTATTTGTGTTAATGCTATAAAGAAGACCTCAATGTATCATAAACCTCTTGGAAAAAATATTTCATAAATTTTAAGTAAAATATTAAGAATTCACAAATAGCCAGGAATTAGATTTTGATTTTGTTTACATAAAATATTGATTTGGTGATTAGGAGAAACCAAATTTCTCTTTCTGAATCATCTTAAAACAAAATGTAAAATCTCCTCTCTGTGTGTGTGTGTGTGTCTGTGTTTGTGTTTGTGTCACCCCCTGCAGGACAAAGAAGGAGCCTTCATCGTCAGAGACTCAAGCACTGCAGGAGCTTACACCGTGTCTCTGTATACAAAGTCCGCTGCAGGGTAAGAACCATAAGAATGCTTGGATTAGTAGGTTTCTTGGAGGTTGCTGCAGATAAGAAATATACCTTTTTTACAGCTTTACTGTATGTGTAGCAGCATTAGACCCAACAAAAAGTCCTTAAATTCTGCATAAGCTGGATGTAAAGTGCTATTGTTGATATGTTGTTGTTGTTGTTGTGTGTTCGTAGGGAGGGAGGCGCAGTAATAAAACATTACCACATCAAGGAGACACAAGGCTCGCCTAAACAGTTTTACCTGGCAGAGAAACACTTGTTCAGCTCTATCCCCGACCTGATCGAGTACCACAAACACAACGCGGCAGGTAAACAACACGTCATCTGTCCAGAGCTGCGAGTATCTACAACTAACTCACTCATGTAAACAGTGTTGAGTTAAAGTGCTGCAGTTGTGGCGGGAGGTTGTCAGGCTGCAAGCTAATTCTAATGGGCAGTTGCACGCCATGTTTTTTGTTGATTGACAAAAACAGCAATTTTACCTTGCCGCACATGGTTGGTGGTCTACGGCTGCCTCTGTTTGTGTGATTGACTGACTTTGATGTTTTGACAGGATCTGAACTAACGTATTGTTCCTATTAGTCACTCAGGCACAAAAACATGGGAAAATAAGGTCAATTTTAGAATACCAAAGCTTCCCTGTAAGGAGCTCAACATCTAAGCTCTTAAATCTGCTACCATGCATTCTGTACATTTCTGTGAAAACGTCTGTCTCTCTCTCCTTTTTGTTTTCTATGTCTCAGGTCTCGTTACCAGGTTGAGGTATCCTGTAGGGAAACAGGACAAGTCTGCTCCGTCCACCGCTGGTTTCAGCTATGGTGAGTCCAAACCAAGTCTGAACCCATCTTGACATCACCCATTGTTTTGAGCTGCTCTTATTGGCTGCACTTAGTTTCAACTCAGATAAACAGTTCACTGAATTATTTTTCTAGAATTGCCATTGACATTGACTTGCAGATTGTACCCCTGGCAGCCAAAACTCATCTCATTGGCAAACGTCCTGGTCTGTTTTACTCTAAATGGGACCATAATTTACTACATCAACATCATAATGTATGGATGAACACTTGACACTAGAGATTAAGACCATAAACTCATCAGGAAACTGTTTACTGAGCTCATAAATCAAATGAGAAGTCGGCTCATTTCTCTATGAGACTGAATGGTATCAGAGCTGCCACCTGCTGGTCATTACAAAGAATGCAGGTTTAAGGTGCTGTCCATTAGTTATATACAGTCAGTGGTCCCAACAGAGCTCAATTTTCATACCCTACTCACCTCTCTCCTCTCTTTTTCCCTCCCTCCAGAAAAGTGGGAGATCAACCCCAGCGACCTGACCTTCATGAAGGAGCTGGGCAGCGGTCAGTTCGGTCTGGTGAGGCTCGGCAAGTGGAGGGCTCAGCACAAAGTGGCCATCAAGGCCATCAGAGAGGGGGCCATGTACGAGGAGGACTTCATTGAGGAAGCAAAGGTCATGATGTAAGGAAGGGAAGGGAGGGGAGGGGAGAGGCAACTGGTTTTAGGAAAATTAATTATAAAGGAGGAGACATAGGGATGAAAAACAAGAAACATATGATCCAAGATTATATGATAATGTGACCTCTGCTGCCATCTACTGGAGCTTATTAGAAACTGCAACAACATGCCCTGTAATGCTACTGTTCTCTGAACAATGGTGGTCTGTAATTGAATTATAAAGTCAAACTTTTCCAGTGTAAATAAGCAAATAAAGCGACGATTAGAGCAGAAATGAATGAGAATCTCTAAAATCAGGACACGACAGACGGTTCAAAGATAAAATAGCTTTGTTTTGAACGACGCTGTTTATTTCAAACAGACTGCAGAAAAGGTGACGATAGATGACTCTCTTCTACACTCCTGATTTCAAAGTGGAAGAACATTATAAAAAGTTTGTGTTTCACCTAGTTTTAACACAAAAAAAGTGAATCATCAACACTTGATTGGATTTGTAGCCAAAGGTAGGTCACTCAGTGCATCCTCGTCTATAATCTGGGTCTTTGTTTTCCCCAGGAAACTGTCTCACCCTAAACTGGTGCAGCTGTACGGCGTGTGCAGCCAGCACAAGCCCATCTACATCGTCACAGAGTTCATGGAGCACGGCTGCATGCTGAACTTCCTCAGGCAACGGCGAGGCAGCTTCAGCCTGGGGTGCTTGCTGAGTATCTGCCTGGACGTTTGCGAGGGCATGGAGCACCTGGAGGCCAACGGCTTCATCCACAGAGATCTGGTAACTGCAGTTTACTTTGATTCTCCAGTCTGGGTTCTGGTTCTTCAATCAGAACTCAGGACCTTTTTTCAAAAAAATAACTGTATGGAGACATGTTGTAAAAATGTTGACTGTAGAATATAGTTTGGCTGGTTTCCAGAGCTACTTTTTCTTGTGTTAGGTTGCAGTAATGCTGTTTGCAAATCACCTCCCATCCTAAAACAAAACTTAATTAAGAAAGTACAATATTCTGAAAACGTTTCCAGTTACTAACATCATACTTGACAAAAAAACCCAGCAGTTTCTATCAATATCATTTTATATTGTCTTTGTTTTTCACAGCCAAACAACAAATAAACCCCCAAAACTCTTTTTTTGACCTTTGCTATTATTTTGCACCAAACAAAACTAAAAATGTAAATGTTTTTTTTTTAATCGTATGTGAAGGGGTAGTTTAAATTGATATGATAAACAATATTATACTATATTTTTGGAGGGCAGTTTGAGATCCCTGCTCTATAACCATGCTAGCAGCTCTTTGAGGCTGTAGTCAGGAGCTAAATGCTAACATCAGCTCATAAAGAGAGCATGACTTTATCAGACATGAAACAAGCCTGTGGAGGACATTTGAATAATAGAGTACAATGAATTTATGACAGTGGAGGAAAGGATATGCTTACTTTCTGTAATAGATTACTCTTAATTAACCTTAACACTGTTCCTCAGTTCATTTTAAACTGAAGACACTCAGAGACACTTTGCATAACTTAAATGGAAATAGTGTGGTCACCTGTAGTAGAAGCCTGTATGATCAAACATAAGACTGTACCTCACCAAAGTCTCTATGAGTCATTGTCTCTAAACCATGAATGTCTGAACCAAAGTTCATAGCAATGCATCCAGTAGTTTTTGAGATATTCCGACACACAGATGCTGATATTTGTCTTTGTTTCCCTTCATTCACGTTTCCCTCCTTGCAGGCTGCCAGAAACTGTCTGGTGAATGACTCTCTGGTGGTGAAGGTGTCCGACTTTGGCATGGCCAGGTACGAATTTAATCAACCCTAACAACACCAGTGATATTTTTAAAACAGCGACAGTGGTAAAATGATCCTTCCAAGTAAAAGTAGAGACAGCAGCTATATGTTGAAGCATCTTTCTAAGCAACAAGACCTCAAATAACAGAAATGCTAAAACTGAAGATACTGAGCAGCACATCCGTTACTGAGGGTAAATATCCTGTTATAATAACATGTTTTTCCATATAGAAGAGAATCAATAAACAATTAGACTGATCTGAACTGAAGTATCACATTCGAAAAGTTTGATGTAAACTCCTAAATTCCAAAAAAACCCTAAGTTGTGCAAATATGGTTTCGTGCTCACTTGAGTTAATGCTCTCAGTGGGAGTTGGAAACACCTTTTACCAAATAAGTTCGGCCATAGCGAACATTTAACTCACATGTGTGATCAGCTGTCTCCTCATTGCTCTAGTGGCTCTATAATACGTCCGTGATTGCTCTACAGATCTGATCTGAACATTAATTCATGAAACAATCTTGTTTTTTTTGTATAGCTTCACCATTAGAGATTCGACTAGCATTCTTTTATGACATCTTGTTGTGTCCCCGCCTAATGCTCATCTCATGAACCAACTCCTGATCTTCACATAACAGTAGTGGATGGAAACAAGAATTCATTCGCATTTTCTCCTGCTCATTTACTAGAAACTCGGTTACAATGTGCAATAACATTTGGATGGAAATGATGCTAATGTCACATTTGAATGTTGACGTGTGTTTTGCAGGTACGTGTTAGACGACCAGTACACCAGCTCATCAGGTGCTAAGTTTCCTGTGAAGTGGTCGCCTCCTGAAGTCTTCAACTTCTGCAAATACAGCAGCAAGTCAGACGTCTGGTCCTACGGTAGGCACCCTCTAACTATCAATAATATCACATTTCTATCAGCCTCTTCTCTGGAGGAACAGGGTGTTGTTCCTTTATTTTTATATATTTTAACATTTATTAACTACGAACTAACATTGAGAGTTCTAACAGTGAAGGTCTCGGCTCTTGTGTCGTTTGTGTGTCTCCAGGTGTGTTGATGTGGGAGGTTTTCACAGAGGGTCGTATGCCATTCGAACAGAGCCAGAACCACGAGGTGGTTACCTTGGTAACCAAGGGTCACCGTCTCTACAGGCCTAAACTGGCCACGCCCTCCATCTACGACACCATGCAGCTCTGTTGGTGCGAGGTGAGAACCGTGAGAAACAATCTGTTTCGGTGTTTTATTTGACCTTTTAAGGTCTTCTTATGTCCAGTTATGAGCTGTACTTTGTATTGATTTAGTGCAAATGGTCCTGACATGCTTGATTTACATGCAGCACCAATCAATAACTGCTATTTGTGGCCACTTAGGGGCAGTGAAACAAGCTGTGAACACAACACTGACATATAATCACCCTCTAAGTTTATATGTTGTAAGTCACATTCAGGGACAGCTTGAAATAATCAGAACTTTCTGCGTTCATTATTTCAGAGACCGGAGGAGCGTCCGTCGTTCTCTCAGCTCTGCCTGATGATCTCCGACGCCCTGGAGGGTGACACCCCTCCCCCAAACTGATCAACTGACCAATCAGCTGCTTCCACCATTCACGTCATCTGTGGCGGCCACGTTTGACCCACAACTCCCGTACGGCGGTTGTTGTATAACTTGCAGCACGAGGACAACATGGAGAACGTGGAGTGATACAGTGTCTGGAACTGACCAATCAGGAGGAGCGGACGGACCAATCACAACAACTGTAGTCCACCCAGCCACCGATCACATTTGTTTTATCCAATCAAGTCACTCAAACGTCGCTTTTACAGCTGTTAAAACTGAAGCTGCGTTCACAACACAAACTGCTGCTCACGTTGGATCCTGTTTTAGGAGGATGTCCGTGCCTTAAAGTCAGTGTTAAAGAGAACAGTGTCCGGTATCAAAAGCATATCAAGATCTGAAGCTTAATTTTCCTTCCAGTAAGGACTCGGTTATGTGAATTGTTTCTGTAACTTTAAGGAATCTCAACAGGTGTTTAATTGTTTTTGTTTTATTCTAATTTCTGACAAATTTAGCTGCAGTGCAAATCTGTTTTTACATCATTTTCTTCACTGCATTAATATTAAAAGTACTGTAGAGAGAAAGTAAATGAATTGGGTGATATTAAACTTCTGATTGCATCATAATGAAAAAGAACACTTTCAGTTTCATTAAAAATTAGCTTAATATTAATGATAGTAACTTGAATTTATTTATTTATTTATTTTTCTGATATTTTTTGGGCGTTTTTGTTAATAGGACAGCTGAAGATAGACAGGAAAGGGTGGTGGGGCAACAACAAAGGGCCGCAGGTCAGAATCAAACCCGAGCCACTGCAGTAAGGACTCTGGCTACATGGGGCGCACACTCTACCATGTGAGCTGCCATGAGCCTCTTAACTTGCATTTATATAGGGCCTTTTAATGTACTGCACATTAACCGGAGTACAGACGTCTGTTGCACGTGGGTTGAGTGCAGGTTAACCTCTCACTATGTTTGCTACATTATGCCGAACAGGGGAAAGTTGCCCAACGTGACCACAAATTCACAAGCTTTGCAGATTTTGGCGTAATATGATGGAAAATACCACAAAAAAGGGAAATACAGCTTCAGCAAAGAGAGCGAAACTACTTATAACTGTTGAAGACGAGACATGTTAAAGGCTGAACCTGAACAGTCTATTGGTATGTGATGTTAAAGGGCAGAAAAGATATGTTTATTTATGTATATATATGTATACTGCCTCTCAGAATGGGTAACATGTCCCACACAAACATACTCTTTGGCCCACATTTGGTGTGTTGAGATCTGGTTCCCCTATTTACAGGAGAGGATTTTGCATGAAATGTGGGAGTTGACTGGGAGCCAGTGGAGGTGGATGGGGGTGGGGTTGATGGACTCTGCACATACTAGAGCCTGTTTAGGGATTTGCTGGGAACCCTGGACAGGACTCCATTGCATAAGACCAGGGGGAAGTGATGATGAAAGCACAAATCAAGTATCAACTTTGAGTAATGGGAGTCTAGCAGCTCTGTGAGGTTGTATTTAGCTTTGAGATAAATGCTATTGTATTTCAGACAGAAGTAGACAAAAGCAGCTTTTCATTTCCAGACTAATCAGTGATTTTGCCTTTTGTTTTTTTACAAGTTTTAAAACACTTGATGGGTTCATACAAAAAGCTAAAAGTCTAAAGAGGTGAAGTTAATTGTTCAAACTTTAGCTGTAGATTATTCCTCTTTGTACATACAGACTTCTCCTCTCCTATCTAACTGTCAGTTCATGGTTCTTCTTTGTCAGGTTAACCACACCATTTTAATTTCACAGTTCGCTTTATGCAAAGTGTATGTGAGTATCTTCTAATGTCTTTTTTCAAGATAAAACACAGCACATTTTAAAGTGGCCTATTGTTGTGACCAGGCACACCTGTGTCAGTTTCATGCTGTTTAATCTGCATCTTGATATAACAAACCTGTCTGGGCAAAGGAGCAGTGCTCACTAATATGGAATTTAACAACTTTGTGAACTACATTTGAGATAAATAAAAAAAAATGTGTGTGCATAATCCAATCAAGTCACACAACGACCAAATATTTTACTTCGACTCAAAAAACCCAAAACAGGGCAGAAACAAATGGCCTAGAGCTATTACCTATGTTATTAAAAGCAATGGCTCTGACCAGGATTACAGATACTAATAGCTAACTATGCATGTGTTGAAAGGGAGAGCTCTCAGTCATTGCCACCTGAGCCTCACCCATTATTTCGCTGGCTCAATTTCTAAATTCCAGTCGTTATTACTGGCTACCGTACGCTCAATGGCAGTTCAACTAGCTGAATTGTCATTTAGCAGTAGTTCGTTTCTATGTTGAATAATTTCAAGAGATCTGATGCTAACTCATCAGTACGATGAGGCAGGTTATTAAGTTATTAACATTATTTGTAGTTGCTACAAACGATGATGATTAAAGATTAGCTCAAGTTAGCTTTTTAAAGTAATGTTAACTACATGATGTTCTAGCTGACTCGTTTCAATGGTTGATGGCTTCATACCTGAATAAAAGACTACAGATATCGAACAGGTCTAAATGTTATCTAACGGTTCTTATCGATGTTAACCACACTATTTTCATTTCCGCAGATATCGCTACGCACGTACGTTTCTTTCAGTATCTTCAGTCAGTTTGAACCGAAGTCTTTGTCTGGTTAATTAAGAGTAATCGATTACTGAAAGTTAGCACATCCTCTCTCCTGCTGAGCTTTCTGTATAAATTAGACTCCCTCCATGAGCTTGTTTCATAGCTGAGGAAGACATTCTGGTTTCCACTGCTGTGTGAACACAAAGACGCTGTTTGGAAGACTTTTGGGAAGCCTGCACACCAGTTGGTAAGTTTTATTTTCACACTTGGCACTGCAACTTCAGTTAGTACTCATCACAGCTGTTACTTATATGAAGTAAACTTTTTTAAGATTTAATTTTATTTAATGTGCTTGTTACATGTATTAGTTATTGATTGATTAAAATGCATGTACAGTGGAAAAAAAAAAGTTTGTTTGCTTAAATCTTTCAAAATCATCACAAATGTCATGACTAAATACATTGCTTGAAATATGTCCAAATTGATACCAAAAAACTGATACCAAAATATAAATAAAAAAGAGGTTCCAGATATTTCATATATTTATTACTGTAGACTTTCTATGATAAGTCTCTTTTGCTGAGCAGTCAGATATTAAAATAGTCAGAATTTAAACCACAGTGTAATTACAGAGAAGTGGTATCATCATATCAAATCTCTGAATAAAATGTTACAAAAGAAAAGACTTGAGGACGAACCGACTACAACAATCAACTCTACATCTTCAGTCCAGTTGATAATTTCTTAAGAGTCAACTTAAAAAACTTAACTTAACTAAAGAAACTAAACTATATGTGAAAACTGCAACCTAACTTAACTGTAATCAGGGGCGGTCCTACACCATTTGGTGCCCTAGGCGAGCTTTACTGATGAAAATAACTCATGTCCAAAGAATTGCACATTTATTTAAACACGTTGCAGACATGGTTTTTGAAATGTTTTTATACAATTTAAAGTGACAGAGACAGTGCTCATTAATGAACATTTCTGTAATTGTGACAGTTTAGCTATCTGGCTAATTTTTAATGTAGTCCCTGGGCAGATATAAGAACATGAACTCTCTATGTCTCACAGACAACAGTCCGCTGCACCAAACACTCACTACATCACCAGAATAATAAGAATAATCACCACTGAAAATAGCCAAGAACAAAATATTATTTACTTAATTTGAGTAGCATTTGAAAAAAACACTTATATATAAACAACATATATTTCTGAGCCGATTTTTTTACTGCTGCAGACAGAGTGGAGAAGTCAGAAAGTATTGTTGCTGTTGGCTTTTTAATGGATTTTTCTGACATAACAAAAAC